ATTAATGACTGTTAATATTTTGGTATTTTGTGATGTTTGGCTCAAAGATAGCAACTAAAGAAAAGGTTGGACATTTCCAAGCGGAAACGGAGAACCAACCATTCTTTAACTCATCATTTAAGGCACTCAGGCTACCATGCCAATTTGCTTTAGGTGGCAAAATTCCTGTACTGGGCAATTCACGGTTCTTTAGCTTTAGTACTGGTAGTCTGGGTGAAATTGGACCCCATGTTGATGATCACCTTTTCCCCAAGATTCCCCCAATCTAGCCTTCAACACCTGTCTGGCCCCAACCCTTAAGCCCCTCACATCACTGTCAAGTCCTGAGCTTCTGCAGCAAACTGGCACTAGGTGTGAAATAAGCACAGAAAGGTTGGATAAAAAATTGTCCCCAGGTAGACAGAGATAGGAAACCTATTGGCCCTTGGGGGGGCGAGTTGAAAAGTGTCAGGCTCAAGAGAATTTTCTGAGGGGCGGAGAAATTTGATGCCGGTGGCTAAATAAGTAGGCGATGAAATATGGAAAAGGGTTTTGAAGTTGCCAAGAAAAGCTTCCACTGGGTGGATTGGCTCCCCCCCAAATTACAAAGTGCGGCATTTTTATTTGACGTAAAACGCCAGTCATTGTGTTTATTTTCAGTCATCTGTAAAAGTTTCAATCTGTTTTGCTGACAGATGCCAGGTGTGAATACCAAGGCACGGTGTTTGCACAGAACTTTCACAGATCACATCCTGCAAACTTTGCTCAATCATATCAACATTGTACGTCTAACATGTACATGCATGTGAACGTGCTTCCACCAAGGAACTGTTTCTGCATGTAGTTTATAATGTAAGAAGTGAACTCCAAAAATTGGAATTTGTGGCCAAAAGAAAATTGCAGAATTGCTAACAATGGTCAGTAGTTTCTGGAAAGTTGCCTGCTTCAGCCAGATTTTGATGTACTGAATTCAAATACGACAATCAACATTGCTGATTTCGAACATATTTATTTTTACATCATACTGACGATCTCAAAATCTAGAGCCATCCATTTTAAGATCGCTTCTATTCTCAGGGACCCAGAATTTGTTAAGTTTGACTTTGTTTTGGAAGTATTTTAGCTCTAGACTAGCATATCCTGACATGTTCACTTCTTCAGTTAATGGTCTGATGCAAGCTGGCTACTGATTCTTCGTTTCTTTCTTGTTTGGTTTTTTTTTTCTTCAAAGATCATTTCGTCAACTGGATCGCAAACTCTCCTGACACGCTATCCCGTTACCCTATTATTCCAAACTTTACCCTCATTCCCGGCCGAACGGTCTCAACACTCATCAGACTACCGTGTAAATTACCCGAAGGAAAGCAAGAAGCTGATAAATCAGACGGTGCACCGGTAAATTTGGGTAAATTTTATCGTCATCGGGGAGCGAGCCAAGAACCTCTTGTACACTGTGCCTTGCAATGCAGATTTGATCTTCTGACACGACACCTGCGGCAGGGGTGTAAATTGTGTCAGCTTCTAACCCCCTATACATGCACTCCCTTGTTGTGTTTACCCGCTGACAGATAAGGTCTTATTTGTTTGTTGGGTTGGGCCGGGGGTGCCATGTAGGCTCCCTGATCCGCTGCTTTTTCCGTGAGGTTCCAAGTGGTTTTGTTGTGTAGAGCGATAAATTGTGAGGAGAAAGTTTGTTGCTTTTTCATTTTTACAAACTAAAAAACAAGGGTGACTTTTGTCTTGAAAACTGTACGTGAATGTTTCAGCCTGTTGGCTTGGTTTTATAGAGAATTGGTGTAAATTATGTCGGAAACACCTGGTCTTGCCTTTTAGCCTGTTTACTCTCAACTGCTCTTAATCTTTGAGTTAATAACTCAATCAGTCTTCTGTTTTTATGTACTAATTTCAAGCTGTCCAACCATTCCAGTATCATTGGTTCCCAATGAGCTTCATATTAGCTAATTACTGTAAATGACTCTGGCCTTATGATGGGTAATTAAAAACACACCCCTCCTTCACACTGTGGAATTTCCCATTATGCTGTGTAAATGGTTCAAGGGGGAGCTTGGAGTCAATTAAGCAATTAGGGGTGTTATTGTTGACAGAGGGGCTTACAGGGGGATCAGCTGGGGTTGCAAAGTCTTTGTTATGTCTAGAAGCAGGGGATTATAAATATTGTCTTTCAATTGTCATCCTTCTCGCTCCTTTGTTCTGAGAATACCAGGCAACTGAGGGGACCAGACCGGAGAGTTTACAGTGTTCAGCTGCAAGAAGTGTGGCAAACTCTGACTGAAAACCCTTTTGTAGGACAGATGAAAACCAGATTAGTGCAGTCAAAGCACCCAGGGAGAGGTGTTGTTTGAACTTGGCTCTCTAGAGCTTTTTGTTATTATCTTAATCCAAATCTGTTTGCATTTCCCTGTGCTAGATGAACTGACCATTTAGCAGTCTGGTGAAGTGTGTGCTTTTCCCTGTGGTTTTCCTTCCAAGTTGAAGTCAAGAGTCTTTTGTGTTGATGTGTTCAGTTACTGCTCAGTCCTCTAGCTAGCTGTTGGAAGTTTTTTGTTTGCCGGACTCATGAGAAAGGTGGAGTGTTGTTTATGGAAAAAAATGATAACGTGGTACTTTTCCAGAAGTGCAGCTCATCCACTGTGCTACGGCCAAATCGATTAAGTTTTAGAAAATTGACCATTTTTAAAGTTGCAGTTAAGTATATTAGTGCAGCCCTTTCCCCAAACCTGGCTTTCCATTACTTTGGCCTTTAAAAGTTTCCTTTGAGACAGTTCCTATAGCAATTTGATGCCTACAAATCTGATACTAGTTTATTATAGTATCCATACCACCTGAGGGTAGGCTCGCATGGCTTTCTTCAAACACAGGAGGGCGGTGTTGTAGTTCTGGATTATTGTGACTACCATCTCAACAAGCAACATGTACATGTACATATAACTCTTAGCTGTTTCGGCCTCTTTTCACTCACTGAAAGAGACACATGTATGGGATTTACAGTATTTTTCACATGTGTTAATATTTTACACTTTACAGTACAGTTGGCACATTTTAGCAAAGTTTGTAGAACATACGAAGTTTTACGATGTACAATAATGGATGCAGTGAGTTGATCTTATACAGTGAACTTGTATAGTGTGGATCTTTAAGAGTGATACTTTACCTGGTGAAATTAACCTGGATTCCTTTTCTTGATGTCTGCACGAGATCGAATCAGATTTGTCATCCGTTGTGTCCGTGCATCTCAACATCCAATTCTAATGTCATCCTAGATGGCCAGCTCGCATGTAGCCTTCTCCAGACTTCTCCTAGCCCGATAATTTCTCTCTGCTTACCTTTCACCGTGCACTTGTTCACACGTTTCCCCCCCCCCTGCAAAATCCACTCCATCCCCCACTTAGTTAAATTCTTCACCAACCACCAAAATCCAGAGGTCCAAATCCTTCCCATCCAAACCTCGTCCACTTGACATGTCCCCGGGAATGTGGTCAAACAAGCTGTCCAAATTCACCCCCCCCTTGACAAAGCTACTAGGAACCAGCTACTGTGTTACCCTTTCAACCTAAACAGACTGTGGGCCAGGGCTTAAATGAAGTTTGCTCAGTGCAAATACCAGTGTGTGTGTTTGTTTGTTATTTGCTCCAACTGTTTGCTCTGAGTCAGTTGGCATACCTTGATGGCTCAATTAGAGCAGAGCGGATTATTTCAGAACTGATCTGCAGCCTTGGTCTCTGGTCAATTTTGTTCATTGCTGCGAGCAGTAATTAAGCTCCTTGCATCTTAATTTTGTATCTTATTTTTGAAAATAGATTTCAATTCTTTGTATCGTGACTTCCATTTCAAGTTCTTTAACCTTCGCTTCACATGACGCGATAGGAAACAGGAGCCTAGTTTCTTTGAATTTCTTAAAGTGGAAGACTTTTTTTTCTGATTTGCATATTCGGGCAGTTTTGTAATATTTGTGCGTCGCCACAGTAGAAAGTGCATTAGGTCAAACTCTAGTTTGTGACAAGAGAGTGTCTGTTTGTTGCTTGTTTTGTTCTTCGCTTGTGGCTCCTTTGAGACAAAAACAGTAGACAATTTGCTGGATATACATTGTTCATTTGATGACACGGTACATCAGTTTACTTCTACATGCTTCGAAAGGGCCGGACGATGCTCAGTTCAGTTTGCCAACTGTCATTCTTGAAATCTGGGGGGTACAAGCTTGTCGCCCAAGTTCAATGTTTGAGCCGAGGTTGCATGCACTAAACAGCTGTCACATGTATTTCGGAATCCAACGTGGTGATGGATGAGCTCGTTGTAATGTGTCAGGCTAGGGGCAAGGGTGGGTCCATTCCTGGCTGTCTTTGGGGGGTGGACTTTGGTGATATTTTATCGAGGATCGCTGCAGAACGAAATGTTTCTTTCGAAATGGGAGGTGGGAGATGAATGATGGCAGTTGTAAAAATTCCCAGACAGTCTGTCAAAAATGTTTATCGTGCAAGCTTATTGGACGATGTCGAGGGGAGAGACTTGCAAAAGTACGTTTCCCTGCATTAGTAACCGTTTCAAAAAAGTGGTGAGAATATTTTCACCTCAGATGTACAGATATGGCAAATCAGTTGTGAATTTTAAAAAATCCGCTGTGTTAATGTACCGTAATTATCATTGCATAATCTCTCAGCGCATCACAGAAGAACAGACCGAGATTGCCTGCATGTTTTTTTGCTGACTAAGCATTTTTATGCCTTGGAATTGGGTTAAAGAACTTTCTCCCGGACTATGCCATGCAGAAGTACGAAGACGTTTCTGTCTGATTAAAGAATGCTGCATCTTGTGTGGCGCCGCTAAACCCAACAGAATAATGTATGTTTGAAGTTTTTGAAAGTATAAGACTCAGCTCAAATTTTCATTTTTGTTCGGCATCAGGATCTTATTCTCTGGAAATTGGACCGAGGATTTCCTTCCCTGAGAAATGAGCGCTAACTTCAAATTGGCTTCTCTGTTTTGAACTTTATTCTTCCAAACAGTTTCGGCACAGAAGGGCTGGAGCTCCACGCCGAGATCAATGACAAGGTGGAGATTGACTGCCCCAAGACGCCCAACACCACCGTGGGCCGGCAGTACGCCGAGTACCTGACCTTCACCCAGGTCTCGCAGGCTGGCTTCGATCATTGCAGTACCAACATCAGCTACGGCATCGTCCGCACCTTGCTGACTTGCAACAGGCCCTTCGAGGATAATTCCTTTATTCTGTTATTCCAGCGCTACCCCCCACTTCCGGGAAGCCCGACATTCAGACACAGCAGAACCTATTACTTTATAAGTAAGTATATATCAGGATTTTGTCTTGATTTCAGGCTTTTTTTATCAGGATTTTCCTGATTTTAGGATTTCCAAACAGTTTCTTTTATCATTAAGGTGTTTTTTTTGGCGCGCATACATGTGTAAAAGGTCTTGCGGAACACAAGAAATAGGTATTGCAAGATTTGTGTTTAGGCAGAGAAAAATGTACCCCAGGGACTTGACGCTGCAGGTGATTATTTCCTGGATACCTTGGTTTCCTTGAATTGCACCCCTGATCGGTGTTAGTATTGGGAGTTTGCCCTTTATGAGTGGATAGTTCATCGGTCGCACCATGAACTGATGCGCACTTTTTTCTGTGTTTGTTTTTTCTTTTCTAGCAACTTCAGACGGCACGTTAGACGGATTGCATCAAATCAACAGGGGTCTGTGCCATACACATAACATGAAACTTAGAGTTCACATCCGGCCAAGACCCACAGGTGAGTTGCCCGTCAGATTTGCAGAGACCAAACCACACAGGAATTAGGTCGGAATTCTACACGTTTGCTGATTGTTAGTTCACCCGAATAAATAAACCGGAGCCAATATTTGACAGCGTACGGTTGATCTGAAAGCACTCTCCATGCCTGAATGTGCTCAACATTTTTGGCCAGTCTCCTGGCCCAAATATTCACTTTGAAATTCAGAGGTTCTCACCAGGGTTTGGTTTTCTTTAAGTGCCAATCGGTGCTCTGTTTCAGGACTCACCTGGTTTTGAATCTCACCACAATATCCGTGTGTATTTTTCTTCCAATCAAAATGGATATCTATATGTTGCTATATAATAGCTAGCACTCATCACAAAATCAATTCAACAAAATCGTTGGAATGGTCTCAAGATCGGTTATTCCTTTTTTAATCCTTCAATACACTTTTGATTGAAGCATCTAAATCTGTGTGAAGTGTCCCCCCAAAGCACCACGCGTCAGACAATCTGCCGACATTTCATCTCTGAAGGGTCCAACTGATCCTTCACAACTAATGCTTATTGAATTCTCAAGCCAATCTTTGGCTGTGGATTGAATTTAGTCTTTGCTTGGGTGTGCACAGCTACATGTAATTTCAGATTAGGGATCCATTTTTTTGGTGTCCCTGTTACATGGGACATATGATTTTTTAATTTCCAAGAGCGATGAATTAATGCGGATTACCAAGCAAATAGCAATAGTTTGAAATCAATTCCAGTGATATTTCCATCTCAAATAACAAAGGTCAGATGTAACAGGGACACAAAAATGGGACACTTTTGGACCTCTGATTTCTGGAGTTACCAGTGGGTCTTTTTAAAGATGTTTTGAAGAAGTAACAACCTCCTGATATTGTGTTACTTTGTAAAGTTTGATAAATAACTTACCTATCGGTTCGTAAGTGACTTCATCACAAAGGCGGATGTGCCAAGATTTGCAGGCTCTCATTGGACAATCACTGAAGTTGTGCGTTAACTTCCGCTTCCACGGTTCCACGTAAATGGCAATCAATGCATGTAATCCTATGTGCAGTGCATGTGCAGTGGGCGTGGGTTAAACTGAAGTGGCGTCACACTTATGAACCAGATGCTCTTCTGGGAACGTGAAATTTCTGTTGATCGTCTTTTATTGTTAATTGTTGCTATTTACAGAAGCCACTCCTACCGGGCAGACACCAATGAGGACGCGTCCTCGTACACGATCCACTACCCGGCCGACCACTCCCACAACACTACCCACGACACACCCCAAGACAACCACCTTTCCTCAAGCAATCACGGAGAAGCCCAGTAAGTGGCAACAGGTCGATGTGTTTCCACCATCTTGAAATGCCTGCCATATACTTCTTTTCTTTAACATGCAGATTTTAGGGAGCAAACATGTAGCCGCTTTTTGTTGTGAAGTCTCAAAACTCTGACACTAGCTATAGAACATGTGGCTGAAATTAATTTGAACGTGAGAAGAAAAATCAAGATGTGGAAGAAATATCCATTTGTGTGGCTAGTTCTTTGCTGAAAACACTATTGAAAATACCCTTTGTTTACTTGTGAAAAATTCCAGAAATCACAGACAAGCCAGTTGAGGAGACGCCCAAGAAAAACAACCCTGATTCCCAGTCCTCGGACAATGCCAGCACCGTCCTCAGACACTCGTGGACGCTTCTCCTCTTGGGACTGTGCACAGCGATGTTGAGATGGTTAACGATGACGTGATGTGGAAGATGCAGACGACAACGACATGCAAAAGAACTCTGCAGAATTCTCCTTTTTTATAAGACTCGCTCAACCTCCCTCCAGAGTTTATTGAATTTTTGGTGGGACGGTCAGTTTTTGCCCAATTTCTGGTCAGTGCCTATGCGTACCTTACCTGGGGTCTCTTGATCAGGTCGCCATTATTCTGCATCTGTGCATCTCTTTTCTCAACTAAGAGGTGGTTGCAGTTATACCAAGCCCAAAATGCTCAAAGTGTGTTCATGGTTGTATATTTTCATGAACCCTTTCAGCAATTGGTGTGAGGGCATTTAGTGAGAACATTTCAAAGTAAGGACTCTGGTCTGAGGACATACACATGACATGTAAACCAAGGGACGTAATTTTCCAGCCACTACATGTCTGTATACATAAACACGTGTATTTATGCACTTGTGAGGACACAATGGTGTCTGAGGACATGGATAGCCTCATTGGATGACATGCCTAAACAGGACCTATGTGACATTTGTATGTCCTCACAGCTAATTTGGTTAAGAAGTGGGAACTTAACCACTGTACACCACTTGGATTGGCCTGACTGAAACCACTGAACAGAATTCGGGCAAATGACAAAACAAAAAATCTGTATAAAATTTGAAATGTCAAAAGAACTTGTTTATTTATATTGTATTGATGCTTACATTATTAGGGGCAAAAATGCTTTTGTAGAATTAAAAAGAAAACAAATTCTGCTTCCAATGTGGCTGAAGTTTTACGTACGTCTTTGTCTTTTGTAAAAAAATTTAAAAAATGAAAGAAAAAAAGCTTGTTTGTTACCACACATTTGGAAACCATCTTAAAAGCAAATATTTTTGGAAAAATTACCTTCAAGACTATTTGGTAGATTCCCGAAGACTCGTACCTGTAAACAAAATTGTTAATTTGTTTTGTAGCAAGATTGTTGAAGAAATATCTGCCATCATGAGGTCTTGGGAACCAGTTCTCGATCTTGAATAATTACAGATCGTGCTGTTCCAATGATTTTACATCTTTAAGTGGCAAATCCCTTAACTAAAAAACTTTATCTTGTGTAAGTCTTATCTCAAAACAAGGTAGAATAAATTCCAAGAAGTTATCAGAGATTCTTGTTCTTTGATTGTGAATGTTGCACAGTTCTTCCTCTGTGTTAACAGTCACTTTTCAAAGTTGTATAAAACATTCATGGCTGAAAATTACAGGAAGAGTGGTTACTATGGCAACAGGCTGCAAAAGCAAAGCAATAATTTGCTGACGATACTCTCTGGGCTGACAAACTGTTTTAGTGTCAGTCCATCTAAAGATTAAAACACCACATAAAGCCACATCTTGTTTTTGAGGCTGATTTTTTACAATCAACCAAATTTTAAAAAAGTGCTTTTTTCTTAATACTCTTTAAGGTAACCCTTTGGACAGATTCTGTAAGGTCTACAGAAAAGTAACAAAATTCATCCAAACCCGTGAATGGCAAAGAACACAGGGTTTCCATGCAGATGACCACTGCAAGTCCAATTTCATATGACTTTGGCAGGCTGTGTCCGAGTGATTTGGCTATGGCTGGGTCATACACGTATCAGTGGGTAATGCATGAAGCCATTAGTAAGTGGTTGCCATTGGCTTGTGTACTGTTTAAATTCCAAAGAGTGAAAATTCACACTATTCGAGTGAAAATTCAATCCCTCCAATTGAAACCAAGGACCAGACGAATTGGAGTGAAATTTCTTCACTTCAAAAGATTGAAATTTCACTTGAGCTTCCACTGGAAGGGGCTATTTTTAGCCTTTTCCAATCTTAATTCAGAGTGATTTTTCACGCTAAAACGTCTTGTCCCTAACTTCACTCTCTCTGATTTAGAAAGTAGAATTTGTAGTCACAGCCAAGCCAGTCACACATGGTCTTAATATACGTGTTGGGACACCATTGTTAAAATGTTCACATCACTGACTGAACCCCACAATGTCAAGTATGTAGTTTTATCATTGCTCGGAGAAGCAAGATCAACATTTTGTTTTTCTTAATTTACCCATGCATATTACTGCAAAGCCCCCCCCCCCGGTTGGTAACATTTGGTTTTCCTTCATTCTTTCAAAGATGTATATTTCTCATTTATTTATTAAAAAAATGAAGCCTTGTCTTTTGTGTAAATATGGTAGGACGCAAACTTGAACAAGTCAAAACGTGTTTGAGTTTGGTCGTTTTTTGGGGTGTGGGTGAGAATTAGCCAGAATGCTTTAAAAGTGTAGATTTTTGTAACAAAAATATCCAAAGAAGAAAAAAAAAACAGTTAGCAAAATAAGGAAGCTGACCTGACTTCTGTCAACACCTTTCCATCAACTTGTATAAAGAAGAACAAGTGTACAGATTTTCAAGTGTATGTCAACTGTGATGTGTCATGTGAAGAAGTGTTCGGAATTATTCACCCTAGTTCTTTGTTTCAAATATGGGCACAAGATGCCGAAGACAGACACCCATGAAGACTGTTAATCCATGGGTCTGAGCATTCATTTTGGTCGGCGCTCCTTCTAATAGCCTGCACCAGTGGTCCTCAAGATGTGTTACAGTGCCAGTAGATCCTTGAGAGGACTTCTCAGGCTAGCGTAAGCTTTTTTTGGTTTGCCATGTCATGTTTTAGTTGCTACAGTTACCGAGTAAGTTCATTTTTGAAGAAAAGAGCTCGGCAAACAATATTTCACCCGAACAGCGTTGCAGGGCTTTGAACACTCTCTCAGAAATCATTGATTTGTAGTGTTCCTACGTGACGTTAAAACAAATTGTGGCGGAAGATTTTGTTCACTGTTCCTGGCTGAATTGTCTCTCAAACAAGAGAGAATTGACTCTTTTGTAAATAGATTAAGAACTTGATTTTTTTCATTATTTTAAAAGTAGGGATTGCTCTTTTCTATGTAAAACTACTCAATTTAAAGACTGAATTTTCCTTAGACTAAACGAACCATCTCATCTTTTTGATACTATGCAAATATTATATATATTTGTCTGTCAGTTTGTTTTTCTTTTTGTGTGTGTGTGCGGGGAGGAATTTGTGGATATTTGCAATTGTACAGAATTATTGAAACATGATCTGTAACAATGCGCACTAAATAGATATGCTTTTGTCCATGTTCAGGGGCCATTTTTGAACCCCCCCTTAGTCAAAATTGCAGTTCACAGAAATCCTGCGTGGCTACCAACAACGGTGAACACTGTGCTGTGGAGGATGTTAACTGGTACCCAGTTGAACTCTTTATAGAATCGGTCCTGTCATTTTACATTTCACAGTTGAATCATGCTTTAAAATATTTAATTTGCCACCAACGAAAAGAAATGACTGAAGTCAGTTTTTAATCATTATGCCTTTCTCACATGTACATTATTTTCACTCATTGACACTTTTAATGGTGGTTCCTATAGAGACAGAGTTATCAGCTGAATTGTATTTCCTTGAGAAATTTAATTCAGATAAAATTCGTAGTGATCCACACAATATCTTGTTTTATCCCGTCTTGTTTATTGGTATTGCTGCTTTCTTGTTTTTAATATAAAAGCTGTCAATTTTATTCAACATGTTTATTCATGAACTTGAGTGTATCATTTGCGGGATAGCGGGAAAATGGGTGATGTAACTGTAGTGTAATGAATATGCATTTGTAGGGGGAGATTTGGTGTATTAATTTGTGAGAATGGAACATACCAATGTCAGGTTCATTTTGCAGATGATGCCGACAACCTGTATCCAATGTGGACCATTTGTCATGTGTTGCTGTTTCATCAAAATTCGTAGAAGTTACTTGCTTTGACCGTAACACTTTGGCTGTGACATTTTGCAGACAATAAACATGTCAGTTTAAGATGCCAATTTATTTTTGGAGTTTTGTTGGTCTTAAGCTTTTCGGCTCTGTTGCTTTTTTGTTTTCTAATGGACTGAAGTCTCCTGGTGCTGTTGTTTTGTCGGAATAGTCGTTGTCATGGTATTGGTTTATTCCATTCTCACTAAGAATAACTTTCACTGTAATCTGTTTGTATATAAATGCAGTACTACACTCGACAGGATTTATGTGCTTTGGGAAAAACAATCTCTTGAACTGTGAATATTGTATTTTGTATCATTTTCTGTTTTGTTTAAATTTCAAAGCTGTATGTATTTTGCTGTTGGAACTTGTGCGGAACGTTCCCACCTTTTCTGTTCATGGAGAGGCCCAATAATTTACATATATGTATTTGCATATTCATGATTTGTAGGCAATAGTTATAAAGCAGAAAATTTCTGGAACGTAAACTGATTGAGTTTGTTGTGGGACAGATCCCTTAGGAAGATTTGCACTTCGTTTTTATGCATAACTGTCAACTATGCCATATCTTTAAGACAAGCAAGTGAAAATGAAATTTGTATTTCATACGAATTGACTTCCTGAATCGCGTCAATGAATTTTTGTGGTCTGTTTAAAGAGACTGGATAATTCAAATATAAAATCAATAGAAAAAAAGCTCTTCCAAAAGTCAGAACATTTTTAATTTGCATTCATGAATAAAAAGTTTTCATTTTGAACAATTCCCATTCAACAAACTGTTTAGAAGAAAATGGTAAAGAGTTATTGATCTGCAGAGTATGGTTGTGGTCCCTTCATTTTCGTGGACGTTTTAGCTGGTTGCCAATTGTGTCGGAACAGTGAAGTATATATTTGCAGGGTACCTAGAGAAAGGTATTGTTTTTATGTGTTTGGCCATTGTTATGTAAATGTTAATGATGAGAATTAATATCAATGAACTATTCATGTCGTTTAGGGGTTCCTTTGTTGTATAATTTGGGCCTTTCTGTATCCAGATATTTTGCATTAAAATGCAAGACCTTTGAAATTTACTTGCTTTGGTTTTTAATTGATGTTGTCTTTTCAAAGCCTTGCAAATTTCTTTAATTTGAGTTCAAGGACTGAACTATTAAGTTTCCTTGGAACTCCCACAAAACACATCTGTTAGTCAGTGGAACATATTTAGGGGCATCAAAAGAAATTTTGAAGCTGTCTGACAAAACGTAAAGTTTGATTAACATTTTAAGTCAAACCACTTACAAATTTAATTTTGCTTCATACTTTGATAATCATATTTGCAGAAATCCCGCACAGAAGACAGCTCTTAGCCGTTGGAGTACATTGTGAGGTATCTAAAAACAAGCATTTCGGAGGAGTTTGGAGAAAAGCGAACAATTGGGCAAATAATGTACTTTGAAATACAAGGTTAAAGGCGCCTTTCCATATATAGGTTCTGGGTGCGTTGCGTACACGATGCGCGATGCGTTCAAGTGTTTCACTCTTTCACAGACACAAAACTCGACGCCATTAACAAAGCACACGCCTTAATCTCCTGTCAAATTGATTGGATTTTTGCTCGAAATTCCGACACAATGGTTTTGCCTTAAACTTGCACAAAACGATATCTCGGTCCATGCAAAGCGTTCTCGATTTTCTTTAATTAAGCTTTTTGGTGCGCGTTGAGGAAAAGTCAGATTTGGTCAAATGTAGGCCTGATTAAAATGTAAGGCTAAATGCCCTGTAGTTTTATTTAATTTGCGTCCAAAATTTGGAAATTTCAATTAGAATTAAACTTGGCTAAACGACATCTCATTGTTTTTGAATGCATTCAAAGACATCCACAAGTAGTTTCAACAAATTTGAAGAAAAGCCAAAAAATGTTAACAATTTAATTAAAATTCAAGGTTAGGCCTAATCTCTTGCAGGTTTATTTGATTTGGGTCAAAAATGTGGATTTTGAACTTGTATAAATCTTGCGTAAACTATGTCTCTTTGTTTTTGGATGCATGCAGAGACATCTGCAAGTATCTCTGGTCATCGCACGCGTCGATTTTGAATGTGCGCGTCAGTTTTTTTCATTCTTTCTCAAAATTTTCAAAACAGCGCCCCCTACTTCCGCACCGCCTGAATGTTCCCGAGTAGACTGATTCCCGGCCAAAAGTCCAAATGGCAAATTTTTGTTCAAGGAACCAGACTAATTCGCGGGATGATGTCGAACACAAACAGTAGACCATGGGTAGGTTACAAACTTGCAGCCAGCTGATCAGTAACAATTGCAGCATGACGTGCGACGTGCTTTTACTAGCCTTTGCTCTATGATTAAATATGCACCTCATAAAAGCCACCCCTCCCCCCAAAACTGCCCTGCTACATCAATTCTGGAACTTTGGTCTTACCAGAGACCGATTTTTTTTTATTTTTTTTCGGCCTAACCGCGCAAACGTACCCCAAATGTCCATAGAACTATTGTTGTTTATTTTGCAATACTATTTTGTTATTTCGCAATGAAAATATGCTTTTGCATATTTTAAATTGGCATTAACGGGTTTCCGCATTTCTGGCAAAGTTTTTCCCTGAAATCACAACTTTTCCGTTGATGGTTTGATGCATATTAGCCAAGAGCTTGGGGAAAAATTCACCTCTCCACATTTTGCCATTATCTTTGTAGGGTGCACCCTTGTATTTAGGCCAGAAATATGTCCGTCAAGCTCATTAATAAAAGTTATACACCTCAAAATATTCTGTATTAGAGGGTCCTGAGAGACATGAAACTGGGGAATTGAAAAAATATGGCACCGAACCTTCGGGCTGGACTCAGGGCTTCCAATTCTGAGCAATTTTGATGCAATCGGGTCCGAAAGTGGCACTATTTGAGCCATTTTGCAGAGGGATGCATTTTCAAAATGGCTACTTTCCCAGGCAGTGAAATTTCCTTCGTTTTAGAGGTGGTCTGCTTTGGGTGAGAATTTCTCAAAAATTCATTGGTCAACCCACTAAAAATTGAAATGAAAA